CAGCTGAGCTTTCCCAGCCTCTGCTTCCCCGGCCCCGCCTCTCCCGTTCTCTTCCGGCCCCATCATCTCGGGGATTCTCGCGCGCGGTGGCCACCTCCTCCTATTCCTCTCACAAGCTCCGCCCCACCCGATGGCCCCGCCCCGCCCTGGACCGAACCCACCACCAGTGGCGGCAAATGAGGCTGGGCGGTGGACGCTGAGGGCGCTGCGGAGCCGTGGTTTGCCTTCGCTGCGGCTTCCGTGGGACACGAAGTGGATTTGAGGCTTCCCGTGGAGTGAAAGAATCGGCTCAAAACTGCTTGTCTCCCATGGGCTGGGCCGGCTGCAGAAAGACTGCCCGATACAGGCTTCCGCCGAGACATTGCAGGACGGGTAGTGGTGGCCCGCCTACAGGGCCCAGCCGGTAGCGCGAGCCCGCCGCCGTTCCCGGGAGTCTGCGGGAGCGAGCACGCCGCGAACTTGCCGTGAGGCGGGGCGGAGGCGGGGCCTTGCCTCCTCAAATGAGACAAGGAGGGCGGAGTGGCTATCATTTCGCGCCAAAATCCGAGCGGAATCCGGGTGTAGCAGGGGAGCTGGGTGATCACTGCTGCTGTCATGGTTCGTCCGCTAAACTGCATTGTCGCCGTGTCCCAGAACATGGGCATCGGCAAGAACGGGGACCTGCCCTGGCCCCCGCTCAGGTATCAGCCGGGCTGGAGGTGAGGGTATAAAGGCTGCGCTCACCGGCTTTAATCTAGTCACCTGGGTGGGGACGCACAGGGCCTACTGGCCAACTGGAGCAAGTTCCAATGGACAAGGGCATGTAGACCCTGGGTGGCCTCCGCGCTACAGCACAAAGCCAAATTGTTGATTTCCCACCGGATCCTGCTTCCCTGCCAAGGCCTCTGCCCTGTGGTGCTCTGGCCTAGGGCAAAGTCCCTGGCCTGGAGAACACCACCCTCTGCGAAGTACAATGTTTGTCAGGCGTTAAAACCTGAGCCAACCAGATAATGTTTTGAGTAACGCTGTGTTTCTCTAACTTGCAGGAATGAATTCAAGTATTTCCAAAGAATGACGACAACCCCTTCAGTAGAAGGTAATGAAGGCATTTTTAAATGATTGGGATTGTCAAGGATTTTTCTTGAAGTTTTCCAATGCAAATGTTGTTTTAAATGGAAAGCTTCACGTTAATCTGGGATCTTTAATCTTACTAAAAATCTGTCTGAAGTTCCCAAGGTTCGTTAAGCGTCCCTTTTTTAAAAATTCTGGGCACATGTACAGTTCAGGTATTGCAAAATTGGCAGCTGAACAGAGGTCTTCACATTGGAGGTTAGCGCTCCAAATGGAGGCCAAAGGAGGTCTTTGGAAGAGCTGCTGGGAGAGATGGTAAACCTGAACTGGGGCAAAGAAGAAGAGAGTGGCTATAGGATCCTCCACATGAGTTATTTGGAATGTAATTACGATGCATGAAGACATCAATGATGAACTCTCAGCATTTCAGTGTGGGAGAGTCTCAGTGACTAGAAGAATTAAGGAGTGGAGAATGGTGTGCGATTGTGATGAGAATGATTTTGAGTTGTCTGTAAGGACATCCAGGACAATTTCAGACAGAAAGAGCTAGGTGAGTTGAGCTATGGGAGAAAAGAGGATAAACAAAGAAAAAAATATGAAAATGGAGGAATACCCTGCTTAAAACCTAAGAAATGTGTATTTGTGGGTATAGAAAGAGGAATGGCAGAATAAATAAGGAAAGTCAGAGGGAGCAGATGCTGCATAACATTAATAAAAGATATAAGGCCCTTGGAATTGGCTAGTATGTTGCTGGTAGAGACAAAATGGCAAGAGCGGAAAGCTCCAGGGACACAAATCCCTCTCAAGAATCCTTAAGTATGATCTGATAATATTAATGTTTCTTTGATCCAAATGTCTTGACTCAAGGTTTTTTTTTCCTCCTGAGAAGTCAAAAATGGAATCTATATATATCAGGTTTTTACAAAAGCATTATCTGTGGAAGTATAATGCTGAAAAGGCAAGAGTTCAACTTAACCTGTTTTAAGATAAATTGAGGAAACTGTTAAGGAACTGTTTTTTTAAATATGATGATGGAAATCTACAAAGTACCCAAATATGAATAGTGTGATTATCCAACAATGATAACTACTCATATGCTGAACATTGTTCTAAGTCTAATCCCCCCAACAATTGTAGAGGTAGGCACTATTCTTATCCCTATTTCATAGCCAAGGAAAGTAAGACGGAGGAGTACTCCGATTGATGCCTGGTTAATAATGATACAATGCATTGGATTAGAACACTTCAACCCAAAATCTTTCCTCTTTACTACATCATACGTAGTTGCAATTGGTTATAATTAAATATTGGATACAAGTTGGGTAAAGTCCAAGGGAAAAATAATTACTATATTTAGGTTAGGAAAGATAAATGTAAATTTTGGTAAAGGTGTTTTAAGTTTTAATATTTTTAAAGCAAATCCACTAGATGTCACTATGACAAATATCTACATGTATATGATTAAAAATATATGTATAGTCCCAAAATATATTTATCCTTTCCATGTGATTTTACAGGTAAACAGAATCTGGTGATTATGGGTAGGAAGACCTGGTTCTCTATTCCTGAAAAGAATCGACCTTTAAAGGACAGAATTAATATAGTTCTCAGTAGAGAACTCAAGTAAGTACTATAACATAAAGTCACTACAGGAAAGTCATGTTCCATTTATTAAAGTGCATACCAGTATATGACAAGATGAAATAGTATAAAAGTAGCTATTAGTGAAGCTACCTAATATCACAAAGGTGATTACAGAAAATGAATAAGTTGTTACACCACATGGCAACTTATTCTGCTCCTTAAGTGACTAATGGATTTTAACACCTAGAAATGTTATATTAAACATTAAATCTCACTATAGTAATAGATTTGCAAGTTACCTTGAACCTTCAGTAAACTTAAATATCAGTTATACAATGTAAAAAATCAATAACTTTTTCCTAGTTTCACATAAAATCACAATATCCAAGTTTTGGGATTTGCCAAAATTAAGCAATTATCCTATCTCTTCGGTTGACTTAACACAAACATAAGAAGATGTGAATTTTAGGATGGACAAAAAGTGGTTATAATCTTTTTTTTTTTTTTAAGAGAGAGTGAGAGAGGGGAGAGAGAGAGAGAGAATTTTTAATATTTTTTTTTTTTTTAGTTCTCGGCGGACACAACATCTTTGTTGGTATGTGGTGCTGAGGATCGAACCCGGGCCGCACGCATGCCAGGCGAGCGCGCTACCGCTTGAGCCATATCCCCAGCCCAAGTGGTTATAATCTTATGCCCTGCTATTCCTAGTTAACTAGATTACCCTAATATCACTGCACTTGTGTTCATTTCCCCGTGTCGGAAGGTAAAATATTTTAAAGCATTGAAAATGGCTCTAGGGATTGTCTAGAGAAGGGAGCATGTCTAGTTGGTTTCTGCTAACAATGGAGTAGATAGTTCCTGACGCCAGAAATGCCAAGGCGAAAAGCAGGGTGTGGAATTATTGCCTCATGAAGTCATCTCTGGTGGCTTCCATGTCATTTACACCACATGTAGTATATCCTGATTTCTATTTTGTTTCTTTTTGTTGATAGTGGCATTGGTCCTAACCTACTAAAATAATTTTCCATACCTCATGGTTTTGCTTTGATGGAGGGGTAATGCAAATTAAACTTAAGGGAAAGTTTGGGATCAAAATGTTGAGCATTCTTCCTTAAACTAATAATGTAGTTACCAAAAAGAGTGCAGTATCATAAGGTACTACTTGCTTGACAACAGTGGTCATAATGGTCAATAATATTCCTTTCCTGCATGTATCAGTTAGGGTTCAACCAAGAAATATCTATATGGAACTTTTTTTTTTTTTTTTTTTTTGAGGCAGTGTCTTGCTAATTTATCGAGAATGGCCTTGGGCTTAGTAATTCTTCTGCCTCAGCCTCCCAGGTCATAGGATTATTTATTTTTTTAATTTTGAGATAGGGTCTCACTATGTTGCCAAGGCTGGCCTCGAACTTGTGATCCTCCTGCCTCAACCTTCTGAGTCACTATGGATACAGGCACTTTATATCAGTCTTATTGCAAGGAATTGGCTTTCACAGTTGTATGTGAGACCAAAACTCCACTTGAAATACTCTTTTAATAACCAGTAACTATGGCCTACCCAAGTTAATATACCCTGGGAAAGAAAAAAATTGCACAGCTATAGGCTAACAGATTCAGGCTCATAGAGATTTTCTGCCACATCTGTCCTAGAATGTCATAGGTAAAAAACTAGATTTACCAGGGTGTTTGCATTGATTGCCTCGGGGTGATGGGAAATACATTGATGTGTGTCCTGCCATCTGCCTTGGTCTTTATGCTATTGCTTCTCCTGGTTGCTAGGATATTCTGATGATATCTTTTCTTCATAGAAACCAAATTCACAGAGTATATTGCCATTCCCAGAGACTTTTAATAACATGAATACTATTCAAGTTTATTTATGACTATCTTCAACTAAAATAAACATAAAGAAATCTCAGTGGGGAGGATATTCAGTTGAGCCAGGATTTCTCCTTAAATGATGAGTCTAATTTTTTTTTATGATTCCCCCTGTAGTGTATGTAATTGGGTTTAGCTGCTTCTTACGTATGTATATATAACATTTTTTTGGTGTATTTCACTTTTTTTTAGGGCTGAGAAAATTTGAAGTCTTTATTATCAAGCATACCAGAGAAACAGTAATGCCAGTTAGTAAAATATTTTACTAGGGTTTTTGTGTTGTTGTTCTCCTGTCTCCCTGCTTGTTAGCCAGTTCCACACATATACTGAGAACCTGCTGGGTCCTGCACGAAAGGGCAGAGTTTAACAATCAGAAACCACTATTTTTTGTGCAAGTTTTTAAAGGTACTTAATTTTTTTTTAACCTCCTCCCCAGTACAGAAAGAAATTGAATCCTCTAAGTAACCTCAATTCAGTGCCAAACATACTTATTTGTGGTAACTATTTAGTTAATGAGGGATGGGGGAAAGTGTTTTTCCAAAGCTTTCTGGACAAATTGTGACTTTTTAAGAGAACCAAGGATGGAGAGGGTGACTACTAATAGGTCTCTTTTTGTTGTGACCTAGTGGTAGTCGCACAACTCTAAATATACTGAAAATCACCAATTTTTATACTTTAAAAGGGTGAATTGTGTGGTATTGTGATTTATATCACACAAAGCAGGTTTTTTAAGTATTTGGTACCTAAAATTAAGTAAAGAATTTTTACTACAATGCATCTTGACACCATCTCTAAAAAATCCAAAATATCTTCCATGATTTAAGATGTTGTAAATCATCTTCAATCCATGAAAGTTATCTAAATTTTATATCATGTATATATATTTTTCATCTCACTCTCATATCTTTTCTAGTGATTAAAACACTCTCTGCTTCTTAAAGCCTATCTCAGCAAACACTGACAGACCTTGCTTCTTAAATCTACTCTGGTACCTAGTAACTTTGGGGCCTTCAGCAGGTTAAACCTA